GGAAGGATGGATATGGGATCAGGGAAGAATATATTTCAACTAAGGGAGACATTTTAGGGTTTACAGAAGACTTGATTATAAGTGGGATCCCAGGTCCAAGGAGAGATCCCCAGATTGTTCTCTGGACAGAAGAGAGGGTGCCTGAAACGGCCTAGGCCCATAACCATACTGATGAATATTTTGCTTATCACCATAGAACCTTCATCTGGCGATGGATAGAGATAGAGACAGAGACCCACATCAGAACACTGGACTTAACTCCCTAGGTCCAAACGAGAAGCAGAAGGAAAGAGAACGTGAGCAAAGAAGGGAAGGCCAGAGGGAACCTTCATTCGACGATGGATGGCGATACAGACGGAGACCCACATTGGAGCACCGAACTGAGCCCCCCAAGGTCCAAATGAGGAGCAGAAGGATGAAGAAAATGAAAAAGGAAATAAGGACTGCGAGGGATGCGATCACCCACTGATACAAGGGGACTGATCTAATGAGAATTTACCAAGGCCAGTTGGACTGGGACTGAACGAGGGCGCGATCCAACCAGATTCTCTGAATGTGGCTGGCCCGGAGTCTTTCTGAAAAGCCATTGACAATGACACTGGGACTTGTTTCCTCTACATATACTGGATTTTGCAGATCCAGTCTGTCTGGACACTCACCTTCCTGGACCTGGAGGGAGAGGGGAGGAACTTGAACTTCCCACAGGGCAGGAAACCCTGACTGCTCTTAGGGATGGAGAGGGAGGAGGAGAGGGAGTGGGGGGAGTGGGAGGGTGGTGGGAGGAGGGGCAGAAATGGAAACTTTTATAATTTAATAAAATTACTTTCAAAAAAAGAGAAAATCTATCAACGTAATCCATCATATATATAAACTGAAGGAAAAAAAACATATGATCATTTCATTAGATGCTGAAAAAGCATTTGATAAAGTTCAACACCCCTATATGATAAAGGGCTTGGAAAGATTAGGGATACAAGGTTCGTTCCTAAATATAATAAAAGCAATATACAGCAAGCCAACAGCTAACATTAAATTAAATGGAGAGAAACTCAAAGCCATCCCACTGAAATCAGGAACAAGACAAGGCTGTTCATTCTCTCCATACCTCTTCAATATAGTGCTTGAAGTTCTAGCAATAGCAATAAGACAGCATAAGGAGAACAAGGGGATTCAAATTGGAATGGAAGAAGTCAAACTTTCATTATTTGCAGATGATACGATAATGTACATAAGCGACCCCAAAAACTCTACCAAAGAACTCCTACAGCTAATAAACACCTTTAGTACTGTGGCAGGATACAAGATCAACTCCAAAAAAATCAATTGTCCTCCTATACACAAAGAACAAAGAAGCAGAGAGGGAAATCAGAGAAACATCACCTTTCACGATAGCCACAAATAGCATAAAGTATCTTGGAGTAACTATAACTAAGGAAGTGAAAGATCTATTTGACAAAAACTTTAAGGCTTTGAAGAAAGAAATTGAAGAGGATACTAGAAAATGGAAGGATCTCCCATGCTCTTGGGTTGGGAGGATAAACATAGTAAAAATGGCAATTCTACCAAAAGCAATCTATAGATTCAATGCAATCCCCATCAAAATTCCAACAAAATTCTTCACAGACCTTGAGAGAACAATAATCAACTTAATATGGAAAAACAAAAAACCCAGGATAGCCAAAACAATCCTATACAATAAAAGTACTTCTGGAGGCATTACCATTCCTGACTTCAAGCTCTATTATGGAGCTACAGTAATGAAAACTTCTGGGTATTGGCACAAAAACAGAGATGTTGACCAATGGAATCGAATTGAAGACTCAGATATTAATCCACAAACCTATGAACACCTGATTTTCGACAAAGGAGCTAAAACTAAACAATGGAAGAGGGAAAGCATCTTTAACAAATGGTGCTGGCATAACTGGATGTCAACCTGTAGAAGAATGAAAATAGATCCATATCTATCACCATGCACAAAACTCAAGTCCAAAAGGATTAAAGGCCTCAATATTAATCTGACCACATTGAACCTGATAGAAGAGAAAGTGGGAAGTAGTCTACAACACATGGGCACAGGAGACTACTTCCTATGTAGAACCCCAGCAGCACAGACAATAAGAGCAACAATGAATAAATGGGAACTTCTGAAACTGAGAAGCTTCTGTAAATCAAAGGATACTGTCATTAAGACAAAAAGGCAACCTATTGATTGGGAGAAGATCTTCACCAACCCTGCATCAGACAAAGGCCTGATCTCCAAAATATATAAAGAACTCAAGATACTAGATATTAAAACTCTAATTAACCCAATTAAAAAATGGGGTACTGAGCTGAACAGAGAATTCTCAACAGAAGAAATTCAAATGGCTAAAAGACAGTTAAGGTCATACTCAACCTTCTTAGTGATCAGGGAAATGCAAATCAAAACAACTTTGAGATATCATCTTACACCTGTCAGAATGGCTAAAATCAAAACCATCAATGATAGCCTATGCTGGAGAGGCTGTGGAGTAAGGGGAACACTCATCCATTGTTGGTGGGAATGCAAACTTGTGCAGCCACTTCGGAAATCAGTGTGGCGGTTTCTCGGAAAACTGGGAGTCAACCTACCTCAGGACCCAGCAATTCCACTCTTGGGAATATACCCAAGAGATGACCAATCATAATACAAAATCATTTGTTCAACTATGCTCATAGCAGCACTATTTGTAATAGCCAGAACCTGGAAACAACCTAGGTGCCCCTCAATAGAAGAATGGTTAAAAAAGGTGTGGAACATATACACTTTAGAGTTTTACTCAGCGGTAAAAAAACAATGACATCTTGAATTTTGCATGCAAATGAATTGAAATAGAAAACACTTTACTAAGTGAGATAACCCAGACCCCAAAAGAGGAATATGGTATGTACTCACTCATAAGTGGATTCTAGACATTAATAAAGGTCTTTGAGCCTATAATTCGTGATCCTAGGGAAGCTAAATAAGAAGGAGAACCCAAAGAAAATCATATAGTTATCCTCTTGGATATTGGAAGTAGACAAGATTGCCAGGCAAAACTTGGGTGCACGGGAGTGGGGGGTGGGGTGGGTGTAAGGGGAGATAGGGAGGAAGAAGGGAGAAGGGGAGGATTAGGAAGAGCGTGGGGAAATGGGATGGTTAGGATGAAGAAAGGGTGGATATGGAAAAATGGAAGTAGATATCTTAATTAAGGGAGCCATTTTGGGTTTGCAAGAGACTTGACTCTAGAGGGGTTCCCAGGTCCAAGTAGATGTTCCCAGCTTGTTCCTTGGGCAGCAGAGGAGAGTGTGCCTGAACTGGCCTTATCCCATAGCCACACTGATGAATATCTTGCATATCACCATAGAACCTTCATCTGGTGATGGATGGAGATAGAGACAGAGACCCACATTGGAGGACTGGACTGAGCTCCCAAGGTCCAAATGAGGAGCAGAAGGAGGGAGAACATGAGCAAGGAAGTCAGGACCATGAGGGGTGCATCTACCCACTGAGATGGTGGGACTGATCTAATGGGAGTTCACCAAGGCCAGCAGGACTGGGACTGATGGAGCATGTGATCAAACCAGACTCTCTGAATGTGGCTGTCAATGAGGGCTGACTGAGAAGCCAAGGACAATGGCACTGGGTTTTTATTCTACTGCATGGACTGGCTTTGTGGGAGCCTGGTTTATTTGGATGCTCACCTTCCTAGACCTGGATGGAGGAGGGAGGACCTTGGACTTCCCACGGGGCAGGGAACCCTCACTGCTCTTAGTACTGGAGAGGGAGGGGGAGGGGGAGTAGGGGGAGTGAGAGAGAAATGCAAGGTGGGGAGGAGGTGGAAATTTTTAATAAATAAATAAATAAACAGAAAGCAGGCTGAGCAATGTATGGGGAGCAAGCCATAAACTATTGCTCATCTATGGTCTCTGCTTTAGTTCCTTCCCTGACCTCCTTTCATGATAGACTGTGAGCCAGCTGTAAGGTGAAATAAACCCTTTCCTCCCCAAGTTGCTTTTTGTTGTGTTCTTTATCGTTGCAATAGGAAGCAAACTACGATGAAGGGTTTGTCCACTGAATTTGTAATCTCTTGTTTTTTAATGTTGTTCAAGGTTGAAGCCAATACTGAGCCTGGACCTTTCACGGACAGGTTTTCCAACAGGGCTTCATTCACTCAGGGTGATGTTTGAACAAGATATTGCTAACTAGAGTTAGCAACCCTGCTCTAACAATGTAAAGCCTGCCACCTCAGAACAAATCCTCAATGGCTTCTATGTGATACTAGGAGAATAAGGGGGAAACAAACATTGATGCCTGATGTTTGGGTGGAAGTGTCACCCCAGCCCCTGGCATCCATACATCCAGAGTCTAGAATGTTTGGGTAGATGTTCCATCCCAAGTTCCCTCCCCTGGGAGTTGTCTCAGTCCAGACTCCACCTCTGAGAAAGCCCACCAAGTGATGACCCCTCCCCAGAGGTGCTCAAGACCACTTCCACGGGCTATTTAAATTGTACCCCAGAAAACACACACATCGTTTTTCGGGTCTTCCTTCTCTGACTCGTCTCTAAGGGGATGGATGGCTGCCCAGGAGCAATGGTATCCATTAAACCTGGGATTTTCCCGTTCGGTTTGATTTGGTCTGATTTGGATTATTGCGTCGGTGGAGAGGTTCATGGGGTGCAGAAACTTTTCACCTACAACACTCTCTTTACCGTGGCTACTCAATGAGTCCTTCCAAGTGAGGACCCCCCCCCCAGCAACCCACCTAGAGTGATGTGAGAGACAGTCTGGTCTCAAGGCTGTCGATTTTCCGAGGAAATGGCTTCTGCTCACGGTTTCTCTCATTGCCATCACCAAGGGCAAGGTGGAGCATGAGTGTCCTGAGAGTAAGGCCACGTGTGGTGTGTCTGCCCTGCCCTGATTTCATCACAATCTCTCCTCTTGGCCTGCTCAGTGATGTCCTCAGCTAGTCTCCTGCGCATGTGTCAGGGATCCTGAGTTTTGTCCTATCCTGCCATGCTGTTGCTTTGATGCCCATAAAGGGACACTGTCTTTGCTGGAGTTCTGTCAGGATTTTGAGACCCTGGCACTTGGGTCAGTCCTGTGGAGTTTGGAGGGCTGCTGAATGAGTGGGCTGTGCACTGGGAGACTTGGAAATCTGAGCATCTTGGATTTGACCCATCCTACCCAGCACAAGTTGCCCTCACATCATGGTGGAGACACCAAAAGCCGTGATCCAACTGCTGCCGAAATCTGAGAAATCAAAATATCACTCACTTCTTTCTGTGATCTTTTTTTTCCCACTCACCCTCTCATTGGCCTTCTCTGTCTACGCTTTCCTGGTCCTGGGAAGACAGAAGCCAAAATACATTCTAGCCGAGGACAGCGTAACAGTTAGAGAAGTGGACCACCTGAAAATAGTGAACGTGTCCAGGATGTGGTATTACCAGTCAAAACTACTAGCGACCAGTAGTGAAAACATAGCCATACAGACGCCTTGGCTGGCTCCCATCGTGTGGGATGGGACCTTCCAAATTAAAATCCTGAACCAGCAATTCCGGCTCCAGAATGTCTCCATTGGGTTAGTCGTGTTTGCCACCGGAGAATACGTAGCCTTCCTGAAAGCGTTCCTGCAGACCGCGGAGACGTACTTCATGGAGGGACACAGGGTGAAGTACTACATTTTCACTGATCAGCCAGCTAGCGTGCCACTCGTGAAGCCCTCTAAGGGGAGGCAGATGGTAATTCTGGAAGCCCAGGCTTCTGCGCATCCCCTGAACACCTACATCTACAGAATGGAGGTGATCAGCCTATTTTCCCAGGAGCGCTTTGCGAAGGAGGTGGATTACCTGGTCTGTGCCCACGTGAACATGGTTTTCTGCAACAGCGTTGGCGTGGAGATCCTGTCCTCCTTGTTTGGCACACTGCACCCTCTGTTCTTTGAATTTCCGAGGCAAATGTTGGCCTATGAAAGGCAACCTCAGTCACAAGCCTACATTTCTGAGGACGAGGGAGATTTTTACTACTCGGGGGCCTTCTTTGGGGGAAAGGTACTGGAGGTTTACAGGCTCACCAAGCTGTGCTACCAGGCGATGATGCTGGACCAAGCCGCTCACATCCAGGTCATGCGGCATGATGAAAGCTATTTGAACAAGTATCTTCTTCACAACAAACCCACCAAGGTCCTCTCTCCTGAGTACATGTGGAATAAGGAATTTCTGAACAGACAACGTTTTCTGGAAGAGTTTATAAACGGGGAAATGTTTGTAAGAATCAGCAAATATCCCTGGACTTACACTTACCAAGACTTCCAGGGGGATCCCGAACAGGGTCAGTGACAAGGATGTTCAATTGGCTAACATACTAAGATCAGAAGAAATTTTTTTTAATTTTTCTGTTTTTCGAGACAGATTTTCTCTGTGTAGCCCTGACTGCTGTCCTGGAACTCACTTTGCAGACCAGGCTGGCCCTGAACTCAGAAAGATCTGCATGCCTCTGCCTCCTGAGTGCTGGGAGTCAAGGTATGCGCCACCACCGCCCGGCTCAGAATCAGTTTTTCCTAGCGTGAGCACAGGCTTCACAGTTCCAAATGGTTGAAAAGGATGCTCGGGTATAATTGCACCCGCACCCCACCAGACGTGGTTCCTTTGCTTTCCTTTGCTGTGATAAAACGCTGACCTAAACCTAGTTGGGTTAAAGGGTTTGTGCAGCTTACAGAATCTAATACTCCATCACCGAGGGAAGCCAGGGCAGGAACTCAGGCAGGAACCTGGAGGCAGGAACTCAAGCAGAGACCATGGAGGAACGCAGCTTGCGATCTTGCTCCCATTGGCTTGTTTGGTTTCCTGTCTCATATAGCCTAGGACTACTTGTCCAGGTGCCATTGCCCACCCACATCAATGACGAGACAATTTCTCCTGGTGGAGAAAAGTTTGATGGAGACAGTTCTTCGGTTGTGGTCCCCTCTTCCTATGGGATGCACCAAGTTGATGACTGAAGCTATGACACCACCCTCAATGTCAGCTTTATCAGACACCAAGGTACCCCCACTGCCAACACACACTTAGGCGGGCTGATTTCTTAGGTTAGGCCCACTTGGCCTTCTCTTCCTTAATAGCCCTTCAGGTAAATGAGGCCGGTTGGTATCGTCTTGTCCTGGTGAGCAGAGTATCTTAGACAACACCTTTCCAGAAGAAATGAGGTCTAGTTACATATCTGCCTTTCACGGCAACTGTCACACAGGGCCTGCTTTGATCTTTGGCCAAGGTGAGCTGTAAGCCAAATCACTTCCTCTTCAAATTCTTTGGTTGGTTGGTTGATTGGTTGGCTGGTTGGTTGATTGGTTGGTTGGTTGACTGGTTGGTTTTGGTTTTTGGTTTTTAGTTTTTGTTTTTTTTCAGAACAGGATTTCTCTGTGTATCCCTGGCTGTCCTAGAACTGGCTCTGTAGACCAGACTGGCCTCACACTCACAGACTGCCTCTGTGTCCCGAGTGCTGGGATTAAAGACAGCGTCATCAATGCCCAGCCCTCTCCAAATCGTCCCTGTCGGTGGAAGAGTTCCCTTGAATGCTTGCTCAGAGGTGATGTGATGTCAGACCAGGACCCTCTTTCCTCATGCCTGGCTTCTGTCCATCTCAAAACACAGTTTTTGACTGACAGCAGTGAGTGTGCCTACTGATGGATTGCTCGCAGCCCCTGGGTTTAGCTTCATGATTCACCAAGTAGTTGAAGATGATTTCCTGAGAACAGAAAGCTTTCTCTCTCTTTTACTTAGAAATCCTCTCTGTGCTCTCTAGCAGCGGTGGTTATTGCAGAAACCTTAGATTTCTATGGCTCTGTTTTAGTTCTTTCTCTTTCTTTTCTCTCTATGGTGCAGAGGGGCAGAGGGTTACCCCGTAGCAGCCTTTGGCTTCCTGCTGTGCATGAAAAATGTTTTAGTTCCTGGAGCCTTCTCTTTTGAGGCTCCAAATTTAAGATTTGGTTTTGTTGTTGTTTGATACAAGGTCTCACTGTGTAGGCCTGGAACTCGCTTTGTAGACCAGGCTGGCCCTGACCTCAGAGAGATCCTCCTACCTCTGACTATAGAGCACTGGGATTTAGGGTGTGCACCATCATGTTCAGGCTTGTAGGCTGTTTACTGTTCTAGAGGCGGTGTGGGACCTGGGAGAATGACGCCAATGAATGAGGAGGACTGACGTCTTATACACTAGCCAGCTTTATTCAGAGCATCAGACAATTTATATTCTGAGGGTCAAGGAGACTCGCGTGAGTAAAGGGCACGAACTGAAGGGCAGGCTGCACATGACAGAGCATGTTTTTCCATGGACGCATAATAACTAATAACAATAGCCAGGTGTGATGAATCATCGGAAGTAAACGCACTCCTGCCCACTCCACCTGGGAGGAGCACAAAAGCAGAGTCCAAGAACAGTTCCACGTTTTGAAGAAACTAAGGACACAAGATTCTTATCTTGCTTTCTTGGGATTTGCACACACACACATTCAGGAATCTCTTTACATGACTCTATTATTGGATAGTGTTCCAACAATGATAGATAGATAGATAGATAGATAGATAGATAGATAGATAGATAGAT